AAATAGTTGGCTGACTTCCCAGTGTGAAATAATTTTTAAATGACTATATATAACTATTTAAGAAAAATTATGATGACATCGGAAAATACTTCAAGTGGTGCGAACACCATCTGTTATATAATATTATAATATGCTCTGTTCTTAGATTTTCTTCCAATAAAATAAAAATAATATTATTTTATACTATAAATTATACAATCAGGTACAGCTCCAAGGAAGTGGTCCCTGTACCCTGTCCCTGTGACCCCCAACCCCATGACCAAATTTTTAAAAAGCTATACATACCTATGTTTATGTATATTGTTAAAAACAAATATAATATTATACCTACTATCAACAATTTTCTGAAAATCAAGACTCCCCCCTCCTGCAACCAAGTAACTGGAGCCACTCCTGTAAACAATACTATATAATAAATACAGTGTGATCACGATTTTAGGTACCACTAAATATCTCAGATGGGTGACTTTATATTGAAATGGGGTTTTCGGGAGGTGATAGAGAGCACTTAAAATTTAAATGCATATTTTCATACCAATTTCAAATTTTTAGCTCACTCGCATGCGCAATACGACTTACTTTTTTTTAAAATCACAACTCCAGTTTTTTTCTGTAGATTCGGGTAGAGTATTTTTTTTAAACATTTATTGTATAAAAAATATTTTTCTATTTTCAAAACTGACCAAGTTAGAGTAAGTCAAACATTGCATCACACTGTATATATTAAATTAATAATATAATACGAGAAAACTTATTACTATTTCAACCGTTGAACTTTTTAGATTTCATTTTCAGTTATTCAAGTAGTAATTATCTGGTATGATCAGTGGTGGATTTAACGGTAGTTTAGTTGGTAAAAGCTGACGGGGCTCCTCTCCTAATATATATACTAGGCCCCATCTAAATGATATGCCTAGTTAATTTTTTTGATATTTTTACCAAAAAATATATTTTATATTGCAAATTTGGTGAATAAAAAGAACAATTTCGTAAGTATACTGATACACATTTCGCACAAGGTTCCTCTAATGGGTTTTCCGAATTTATTTGAACAATATTGAACTAGGTGTGTTACCCTGGCACCCCGAGGTCAAAATGTTGACTTGAAAACCGATTGGTATTATGTAATCTTTTATGTAACGACATGTAACCACAAAATGTTGTAACCAATCATCAGGTACTGTCAATGCTATCGATTATTTATAATTTTCACGTTTCAACGGCATTATAGAAGAGAGCAGAAAAAATGATGCATAATGATGCCGTTGGTCCGGTACGACTGGTGGAAGCGGCGGCGGCGGCGGCGATGGAACTACAACGTGCTACTGTAGTTTACAATGAAACACATATTTCGAGTTTAAGATATTAATATTATTACTATTAAAATTATTATCGTGCCGGTTTAATGCTTTCTTAGTCTTTCACTCAGATGGGATTTGGCTATAATAATATTATTCTGTTCAGTAGTTGAGCATTATTCTACCGGTTAACAAGTGTGTGCGTGTGTGGGTGTTTGGGTGAGCTTTCGAATCGTCGCCGAGGAATAATAATATTAAATAGATAGGCAACACGAGTATACACTCGCGATTCCATCGAAGTTGAGATAAAAATAAATAAATTTAAAAAACACTCGAGCCGGGCCTTGGTGCGGAAAACGATCGCAATAATAATTATCACGACTTCTGTTATATTATACGTAATCCGTTCGATATAGTCACCCGAATGACGCCACCGCCGCCGTCTATTATAACACCTACCGTTGTGTATTACAATTATTTTAATTAATAACAAATTCGCTTTATTTTAACTCGTAGGTACCTAATAACATTTCAATAATAATAATAATTAGTAATTACCTACTGCTGCAAAATGGAACCACCCGCAAAGAAATTGGCAAGTATATATTACATATTTCGTGTTGTATTTTAGATTCTGAGTGGAACAATGAATGTATAGATTTTACAATGATGTGTGTTTTTTTTAAATTTTTTTTGTGTCTGTCATCACCGTTTGGGGCAGTAAAACTGCTTCGATTTTCTTCTACAGTATCTTTTTCGATGGGAAAGTGAATCTAGTTGGTGCATTCGGGAGGTCAAATTTTAAAATTCCAAATAGTTTTTACTAGCACCGGGAAAAACAACATAAAAATTAAGGAAAAACGGGAAGTTTTACGCAAAATCGGTTTTCCAAAAAATCGATTTTTGCTTTTGGTGTAACTCTAAAACAAATGAACGTATATACATGAAATTTTCACTAGTTGTTTATATTCGCACTTACTATACACGATAAATTTTCAAAATATTATGATTTATTTTGAACTGTTTAGGAACATTTTCATTTTCCATTTTTCTTTAGTTTTTTTTCTAAAAATATCAATACAATTTTATTTGTTGGTTAAAAAAGTTTGAAAATTTAATAGAAGGCTCCTAGTATATTGTTTCAAAGTCAGATGAAAAATATTAAAAATCCTTAGTCACAGTTTTTTTTATAAGTATTTAAAGTTCAAAAATTGACAAAATATGGAAAAATCATGAATATTAGAAAATTATTTTGAGTTAAGAATTCCTAAAAATTTTCCTTTTCAAATCTATGATTTAAAAATATAATTCAAGATTCCTTATAAGATTATCTACCTTTATCAAAAAAAAAAAATGTCTATAAGAAAGTAAAATTAAAGTTTTATGAGCTAGCGTTTGAAATTCAAATTTTTACGACATTGGTTATTCACTCGATTTCTCATGTAGCAATTTCTATTTTGTTGTAATTCAAAAACGAATAACTGTAGATACATGAAAATTTCACTGAATGTTTATATTAGCATTTCCTATACAATTTTGAAAATATTTTGACTCTTTTTGAGCTGTTTACGGACATTTTCAGTTTTCAATTTATTTTTTTTGTTTTTTTTTTCTATAAATATCAATAAAGTTTTATCTGTTGGGCCAAAAGTGTAAAAATTTAATACAAGGCTCCCGTTATATTGTTACAATATCAGTTGAAAAATATTTAAAATACATAGACACAATATTTTTTTATAAGCATTGAAAGATCGAATTTTTAAAACATTTATCAAATTTAAAATTGAATAATTATTTTGTAGTTAAAAGTCTATAAAATGTTCAACTTTTATATCTGAGGATTGAAAATTTAAAACAAGATTCCACGTAAGTAGTTAATTCTGTTACCAAAAAATCTAAAAAAATACATACTTACAGTTTATTTTTATAGTCATTTTAAGTTCAAATTTGGATCAAATTACATAATAAAAAACCTAGAATAACTATTTTAGTTATTTTGTTATGATTGTATAATATTATTCGTGAGTACTTGAAACTTATAAAGTACACTATTATATATCTACGATAGTATCAGGGTTTGTTGTTGATGTATAACGGGTTATAATTACCTAATGGATATTGTGATATGATTAATTTGGAATTTAATATAGATCAATTTTTTTTAATACCATTGATAAGTATATAATATATCTCATATACCTAAACTGATATACCGTCTCCGCTCAGAATTGTTTTTCTTATATAATGATATTATATCATTGAATTCAAATTTAATACCATCCATTACACAGTGTGAATATTTAGTACCTTGATCTTAGTACCTATACTCTGTTCACCGAGAGAACACACCGTGGCCCGACCAAAATCGGTTCATTCTGCGCATCTCCTCGCCATTTGGGGGAGGGGGGAGCAGGGTATACATTAGCACCTCATTTTTTTTCTGTGTCTTTTTGGCCTGGATTAAAATTTACAATTCGCCGAAGGGGTTCAGTCGTTTTTTTATCGATTTTATAATATCAATTTAAATTGATAAAAGAACCAGAAAAAATAATAGAACTAATACATTTTTTATGCATTCTATGGAAAAAAGCATAACAATAACAACGATAACAATAAATTGTGGTCTCTACAATAAACGTACTTACCACGCAAGATTTATAGATAATTTAATAAGTATAGTATCATTGAGTAGGTCATAGGTATCAATAATTTAACCCCATACAAGCGACTTACACACAAACAATATCTGTATTTACTATTTTGAAGAAAAAGTGGCCTGATGAAAAAAAAATTGGCCTACTTAAATTTTGGCGCCCCTATTAAAAAACTAAAATGGCACCACTGCCCCTCGCGTCGCCCACCCATAGCTGCCGGTGACAAGACGTGACTACCGACTGGCGTCATTAGCATTGGGCTTCTCTACTGGATTGTTTGAAGTCTAGTTTTTACATCGGCTCAATTCATCTATCTCTAAGTGATTTTTCCAGTGAAGTTAGGAGCATGTCTGCTCATATCCCCAGTTGGTATGGTTGCTGTTGAAATCCTCAATATATATTGATGGATATGGTATGACTGATAGTGGAGGGGAGGGCCATATTTTATTAGGTGGTTAGTATACTATGTTGAGGATATTTATCTCAGCGAAACATATAGCTATAATGTATGTGGTATCTGTCTATGTTGAAAAAAGTTGACTCCAGGTGTTTATATCGTTCCTAATTTAGGTGGCAGATCCTTAACTTCTATGATAAAGAGCTGAAATTAGCAAGTATCCAGAAATTGTTGCTCTCCGTGTAATTTTTAACTCGTCTGGAACATGGGTTACCTGTAGTAATAATACGTCTATTTTATGTTCTTTTAATAGTTTTTCATGATATCTGCTTTTATCACTGCTCATTATTTATACATTAAGTTTAAAAAACAGAGCTGGGGGCCTAGATCTCGAGTCATTTGACAAATAGTCCTCAGAAGGAATGTTTTCTGGTTGAGAAGTGTTGATGTTGGTGTTACTCATGATTACTGTGAGGTCTTATAGTTTACTAGATATGCATAACGTTTATATAATAATATATTATTTTTATATGTTGTTAAATTTGATATTTGAAAATGTAATGATTATTATTAGTTATTATGTACTAATAATTATTTTATTTTATGTTATAGAAATCTCCAAAATCCGTTTGGTTTATCATATGTGATGAAATGTGTGAAAGGTTTAACTACTTTGGACTTAGAAGTAAGAAAATAAATTGTATAGTTTGTATACCTAGCTAATAAAGACACGGGGACCGAAAACGAAATAAATATATCCGGATTTAATCAAATATAAAGACAAATATAAATACTGGTTACAAATGTATAATTTTAAATTGTAAAAGAGAATCTCTCGGTTTTGAATTGAATAACACAATATTAATGTCAGTTTCTTCACTTTTCATATTATAAAATAAATATTATTACTTTATTGACATAGATAACTATGCTATTATATTCGACAAAAATATAAAACAGTCGATATAATATTTTCGTATTTTTGTTTTCAGCTATTCTAGTGTTATATCTGTCAACGATATTAAATTATACAGACGATGCGGCCACCATGATCTATCATGGCTTTATATTTTTATCTTATCTCATGCCATTGTTCGGTGCCATATTGGCCGACTCTTATTGGGGAAAATTTAAGTGAGCATGATCAATATTCATCACACCAATATTAATTTAACGCCTTCACCTCTGTGTGTCCATGACTTTTAAAATTTTTTTATCGTTTCTACAGAACTATAATACGACTGTCAATAGTTTATGTCCTGGGAAACATCATCCTCACTGGATCTTCGATAGCCAACAGTTTCACTCTCGTTAATCAAAGGTAAACAGCCAATAATATATTATTCCACTTAAAATATTCATTAGTTTAATGAAATTTCTTCTATAATTTTTGTATATAGTTATAATAAATATTTATTATTTTTTTTTTTTTGACCTCATTAAATGTTTTATTTACTGTTATTTGCATAGGTATTAGCTTAATATTAGCTGACCCCCCGCACCATTTTCAGGAAAATTATAAAATAAGTATTCTATAGAGTTAAAGTGGGATAATGTTTGACCTAACATACCTCCCACCAAAATATTTTTTTATATTTACATATATTTATATTTTATATTTTTTATGAGATGGAAAAGGAGGGGTCAGAATTGCCAATAAACATACAGCTCCGAAGTGGTTAATTTAAACCAATAATTCGTGGAGGATGTTTTGCAAATTAAAAGTGATTTGTTATCGAGTGAAGCGTAGAGAGACATTTATAGAAATTAAAGAGAGGAGATGTAGTGAGTCAATCTGTAAATTTAATAATTTAGAAACAAATTTACAGTTAGCAGTATGCCTAGCACCTGCTAGTGAATCAAGTTTGAGATACTCGACTATAGGTAAATAATTATGTGGAGGATATTGAATCCTGAGTACACAACTTGCATAATTTAAAATTTATTTTGTACTCCCTCAAGCATTATTGTATTATATGCAGTATTAGGACAGACCGTATAACCGTATGACAGAGCCTTTTTCGTGAATAGGCCTAACAAGCAAAATGTACAGTGCCTTATTAAGAAAAGATGCTAATTTAAACTCTGTTGTAATGCTTTAAATAAATCCTAAGATTTTAAGGTACTTAGTGCAGATTCATTCAATATGTACATTTAGACTAAGCATAGGACAGACAACAAAACCTAAATCAGTGATAGATTTGTCGAGCGATTACAAAGTTGTCCCATTGACTGTGTATTTAAAATTAATTTGTGATTTAAGCTGTGTAAAAGTCATATTGTGGCATTTATTAATATTGAAATCCAACAATAGCTTGTTGGCCCATGCAACACTTGTATTTAATTCATGTTGTAGGATAAGGCAGTCTTTTCGAGAATCAATTTAGTAGACTATTTTTACATCACCCTCAAACGCTAGGAGCAGCTTGTGCTCTAATATACGATTAATGCTATTTAAAAATATATGAAACAGGATAGGAGAGAGGTTGCCCCATCTTGAGGGATACCAGTGGAAATTGGAAGTATTTCAAAAGAGACTCCAAGAAATTAAAAAAATTGTTTCTTACCTTCTAAAGGAACGAAACTATAATAAATGCGGTTCGCCGAAACCCGTTTCTTCCAAGACATAGATAAATATATGATGATCCACACGGTCAAATAATTTACAAGAGAAGACATGAAGATGACATCAACTTGTGAATGACCTTAAACGCTTCAAATATAAAATTACAAAATACTGTATTACAAGTTGTTGTTTAACGTTCTGGCCAGAATCCATGCTGTTCCTCCATTAACACTTAGTTGAAAATTGGTTCAAATTTCTTAAGTTAAATTGATTAAAATAATTGGATAATATGGGAAAGAATCGAAATTGGTCTGTAGTTGGAGACTAGAAATAGAGATGCATCCCAAGATTTCAGTTATGGGGTGAGTCATACTCTAGGATGTTAATGCCAGATAAACCAGACAGTTGCTTCACTTAGGCGTATATACAGAATTTAAGAAGGAAGAAATAAGTTGGCGGACTGTTGTTCATCTAATCCTGTAGTATTGTGAAAGATTTAAGTGAGCTATGTTTCCTAACAAAGCCCCAAAAACTCCTGGGGTTTTTGTTAAATGACTTTTCAGCATAAGAGACAAAACTTTTGAAGCCCCTTTTTACCTCAAATTTACAGAGTGCCTAAAGTAGGGAAAACTCTCCATATGGAACTAGGGAACCTGATAATTTAATGAATGTATGTGCTCTTCTCCTTTGGAAAGTAAGCTTTGTGCTTAGAGACCCAAGCGGGAAAACTGGACTTAATAAATGTGGACTTTGAAAGGTAATTACTTATTAAGTACATTAAAATGGCGAGCATCGAATAACGCATTAAAAGAGATGTTAGATCAAGACCATACATGTATAGATGGTTATATCCCAGTTAAAGGAAAATATTTACCTATTGATTTCACTATAGCAACATTCGGGAAATTTATAGAATTCATTAAAATATTAGGTATATCGTATATCATATAGGTATAAAATATTAGTTAATCACAAGATGACGATTGACGACTGAATACACTCAAAGGTTAAAAATTGTTTTTAGAAACCCCATTTAAAATTCAATGGCAATAATACAGTGACTGATTGATTTATATTATATAGATTCATGGCCATCGCTGGTCTAATATGTATTGCGATAGGAACAGGTGGCACAAAACCGTGCATTTGTACATTTGGTGGCGATCAATTCCAATTGCCGGAGCAACAAGATCAACTTTCCCGATTTTTCAGCAGATTCATAATAGCCATTTTCACTGGATCGTTGATATCTACGTTTTTAACACCCGAGCTACGGAAAAGCGTACAGTGCTTTGGCAGGGACACGTGTTTTCCGCTGGCGTTCGCCTTACTATCACTGCTAATGATAACTGCCATAGGTAATTTATTATAATGGTTATCGATCTCATACACGCCACCCTTTCGTTGTGTTGATATAAGCACTACATTTTTAGATATTTTCTAATTTTGAAATATCAATATTATATATTATACAACCGTTAGCTAATTAAAAATATAAATGTTCATTTTTCAATATTTTTTTTATTTTTTTACACCATCCAATTTCTAAACATTTCAGTTGTTTTTATTGTCGGAAGAAATCTGTACGTGAAAAGGAAACCGGAGAATCATGTGATCTTCAAAACTTTTGGTTGCATATTTGTAAGTATAATATATAATCTATATATTGCATGCGCATCGCCGTTGATATTTCAGTAATTAAAAACGCACGTCTCGACACTGTATTAATTGTTTATGCCATTGTAAGTACGGTGTTCGTAAAAATATCTTTTCGTCAACTTCCAACGAGGCTCATTGGCTGGATATCGCCGGCAACAAATACTCGAAAACAGAGGTGTCCGACACGAAGGCGGCGATGGAAGTGCTATACACGTACATTGCTTATCCTGTGTTTTGGGCTCTCTATGACCAACAAGTGAGCCGCCGATTTCAGTACACGAATATGATACGATTGATACCGCGGTTGTGTTTTCGGTATTTGACACGCAGGGCTCGCGGTGGACGTTGCAAGCTACGTTGATGGACGGAAAGTTGGACGGCATCAGTTGGGAGATCAAACCCGACCAGATGCAAACCATTCACCCACTTCTCGCGCTCTTGTTGGTCCTTTCGTTCGACCGCGTCCTCTACCCCTTTCTGGCAAAGTTCGGCATACGGCAACCTCTGCAAAAGCTCATTTTCAGCACTTCAATGGCGGTGCTAGCCTTTCTACTAACTGCCCTTCTCCAGTATAAAATATTCGTAAGTACCACTGACCACTTGCAAATTACATTCGTAATATTACTGCTGTGACTTCATATACATCTGCTGTTATTTCTGCACGAATAATACAATTTAAGATCCTATATGTGTCAGTACTCACGTCAGAATTGAATACTGGAATGGTATTGGTGAAAATGGTTTAATTGATAAATAACATACAAACTTAACATATATTAATAATATAATTATTTTGATGTGCGGTACCAACTTTGTTACCTTATACAATACTTAGTCGTATTTGACCGTACCACTAAGGTAATTATCGTACACCTGATTACACGTGTCAGTAACTGTGAACTACCGGAGCCCGCCTCATATTATAAATCCAATCAAAGTTAAATATTAATTTAAGTATTCATTTCGGTCATGTGTTCTGACACACACATTTTTTACGACCATTGTCATTATACATTATTTTGTCATTGATTTTAATTTATTATTAAAAATAAAAACAAAAATAATATATTAATGTTCGTATTGTAGTTTCACTAATTAAGGATAACTAAAGCCCCCCAAACTTAGCTGTAGCCAGGGTCCCCCAAGGATAACCTAGGACATACAATTTTAAAATGCTATATTTCAATGGTCTACTTGTCTTTAATATATTCAGACCCCCAAGTCAAGAGTTGAAAAACCTATGATATCCAGACAAAATATAATAATAATGTTGTGACTTTGTACCGATTATCGTTCAAGGGCGACAGCACTGTGATACCGACTGCCGAAGGACAGTTTGTTGTATATAACGGCTTCGATTGTAACGCTCGTGTGTTAAGTTCGTCACTGCAGTTGACGGGCAACAACGATATCGATCCGCTGGGCTCGGCCAAATTCAAGTACACTCCGAATTCCGACGAAGGCGTAGTGAACATAAAGCTGAAATTGAACCAATCATGCGATGCGTACGTTAACTACGACAATGTGGACACAAACGTGACCATATCCAGAGGAGAGGTTAGAATTTAATATATTATATTAATATTTTCGATTCCCTTCTATATTGTTGTAAACTATATTTAGCTAGCTATGCATGTAATTTGCTTGGATAAAACTAAAAATATCAAGACCTTTTTATATCATCTTCTCTGAGCGACCATCCAAATTTTTTTTTTAAATATCTCTAATTATATTATACGCTCGTTCGATGTTAACCTATACTGTTAACATGACAAGTATGCAACTATTATAGCAACTATTTACACTACGTGTACTGTGTACACTAAGTTGTAAGCCTGTCTGATACTTTAGTTTTACCATAATGATACTCAGTTCAAATCTATGTACTGTGTGTATTTGCAAAGAATCACAGTATCATATTTTTTAAATGATTATAAACACAGTTCTGTTAATTTTTATAGTGTTTATAAAAAACATTTTTAACACAGAATGCGAAGAATAATATGTTTTATTTTTAACATGTTGTATTTATACGAATGCCTATAGTTTATTTTTTATAACAATAACATGATAATTTTATATCAGATTTAAGTAGGAGACTTGATTAAATTTCCACTGCAAACCCTTAACTAAATTTCGAAGTATTTTTAAAAATAATTCTGCTACATTTTTGGGATATTTTTTTGTACATTTCTTAATTTGGCTTGTTAAATTAAGTTTAAATTATGCTAAGAGTAAAAGTTATTTAAGCAACAGCTAAGAATCGAAATTATGTTGTAATATAAAAAACGAAACGATATATAATGTTATCTGACTTCTGCAATAAATGTATTGCTATAATCAATAAGATTACAGTGTATAGTCTTGCACGATAAAAGAGTAATTATTTTCGGTTTTCTAGTCAATCTCATATTTTCTAACGTCCAGTAGTGCAAATAAAGAAGTAAAATTAAGACATATCGGTCATTACGACGATTTCATGAAGCCTAAAAATGGTCATCCGAGTTTAAGGTAAGGTATATATTCATATTATACCCAGTGATATAGTTTACGTCTTCGAGCAGTATACAATATTCTATTCTTTTTCTTTAGAATCATAATTGGCGATGATATCGAAAAGGACGGATCTCTTGCTCTCGTGAACGCCGAGAAAAATCACTTGTCGTACAATATATCTTCGTTTGCAAACGAAAAATTCATACAGGTGGCTTTTGGAAAGTAAGCATCAACCAGTACTGCAATATACTTTGCGGGAGTTGTTAAATACTTGTGCAAAAGTATTTGAGTAAAAGTTTTCAAAATATACTTTTAAATACTCTCTCAAAATATCTGAATTTAAAATCAAATACTAGATTTCAAAAACTTAAATAATTATTTTTAATTTAGATAGTTATTATTTTTATGTTGATCACGTAAAAAAAAAAATTGAGAGTATAATGTATAATCATGTATTGTTTTACTGTGAATTTATTGTACTCAACCGAAAAGCAAATACTTTGACAAACAAAACAGATGTGAATTTTACAGTTCTACTAAATTATATACCTACTGAGTAAAATGCTCTATAAAATCAACACAAAATATGAAAGTTGGTCAGTTCCTATTTTAAAAGGTTAAAAAATTTGTATAAAAGATTTGAAAGTATCTATAAATAAAGTATTCGTATTAGCACTCAAATACTCTGTCTCTGTAAAATACTGTATCTGGATCTGTGCTTGAATACTTTTTAAAAATATCTTTGTATAAGACTGAGCGATGGTTTGGATTTTGGATTGTAGGCCGTTTCAAAAGTTTAAAACCCCTATTTATTTAATTTAAATTTGTTTAGCTATAACTTAGTAAACGGTGAAGGACGGATATCCTCGAATATAAATCTCATGCCAGCGACGATATATACACTCGTCATACGACGCAACGACGGCGACAGCCACGGCCTGGTAAAATCATAATATATTATATTAGAAATACAAACTATGATAAAACTATAGTAATGATTGGCCTAACCTAACCTAACCCCTATTGGGGGCAAATCATTATCGTAATTGTTTCATCACGGTCAAGGCATTTATAGGAATCGAAATTGTACGCTACGGACGAAGGCAACTACTTGCACATTTTATGGCAGACACCACAGTACGTGTGTATGATTATCGCGGACGTAATTTTTCTCGCCTCGTCAATTGAATTTGGGTTTACCGAAGTAAGTAGACACGTGCACGCAATAATTCCACGCCGTCTATCCATTTTTTGGACCGACGCACATGCAACATATTAATAATTTCATAACAACTATAGTTATATAATTATATATATTATATATATATATGTATTATACATATAAAACGCACGGTTGAACAACAATAGATTGTCGGTTTAACTCACATTACATAAAAAAAAAATATTACATTGTCTGCGTCACTAATAATTATAACAATAATAATAATAATGATTTATTCCTATTCGTGCAGGCGCCGCCCAGATTAAAATCGTTCATATCGGCCTGTCACTTGATGTCTCAGTCGGCCGGAAATCTATTGGTCATCATTGTTTCGGCTTTGTCCTTTCGTAAACAAGTAAGATTTATAGATTATACTCAGCCCTGTCGAAAATGTTGTCTAAAATATTAATGCACTTACTGCTGTTTTGTAGGGTACCTAGACTTGAGTAAAAGTGATTGAGTGGAAATATTTAATTCTTTTGATATAAGTACAATATGGACAATGACTTTCAAATTCTTTTTCGGGGTATCTGTATATAAAATAACATACTAATTTTAAAATAATTATTCATTTTAATTTATATAATTTCTTTTTTAATTTTAATCCCGTAAAAACAATTGAGTGTGCATGTTAATATATTTTTACTGTGAGTGATACTCAACCGAAAATATAAAATATTACACTTCAACAAAGAAAACAAGTGAGTTTTATAGATACACCTAATGATACAGAGTAAAATGTCTTTCTTCTTGTCGGGTCCGATCATAAAAATGCCAATAACAATTGTATTGATAATTTAAAGTAAAATAAAATACAGGTAAATACTTAGATAATAAAAATAAATAAATAAATCAATTTGGTACATCTATTAAAATCACATTTTTTGGTAACATTCTATATGTTGTGTGGCAATCAGTAAATAGTCTCTAGAGCATTTGTGTTTGTCAAAATCAGGTCATCTTTAGTGCATTGTTTTGTAGTCATGGTGCTTAACAAAAGGGGTTCATCGGTTTGTTGTTCTCCGTAATCATAAGTTTCATCTTATCTTTTTAAGCCCCATTTTACCATGAAAGCTTTAGTCCTCACAATCCCAGCTTTTAATCTGTTTAAGGTTTTCCATAATGGCCATGGAAAATTTTCACCCAATGGGAGTTATTGTGCAGGCTGGATCAGTTCTTCCAGTTGTACCTCATCAACCTCATCTTGCCATCTTTGCAGCCAAGCTTTTTGTAGGGGTTCTTGCAGTTATTTTGCAGTGTGCATGAAACTTTTTTGAGACTTAATTCTTGTTCTCGTAATTCCATGTCCGAAAAATGTATGTTTTTCGTCCTTCAGTGGTTACGCGTCTTCTAATTTCAGATGGAGCTATCCTTGCAAGAAGGTATAACTAGGGTTTGGCCTAAGATATACCATTATGATTCTGCAAGTATCGTTCAAAGATACAAATACATGTTTGGCGTGTTTAGATTGGCCCACACTGAACACGCATTCTTCAATAAATTGAGAAACATAGGGATATTCTCTGGTTGTACCGCATGGTGTGACGTCACCCCCCCCCCCCCCACCCCCCACAATGGGTTCCAGCGAGTTTTCTAAGTAGGTTGTTCCTTTCAATTTAGTTATAAAACAGTGCTCCTGAAATGTAAAAATCCTATCTAGGGTGATGCCTGCCTTGACACAAGGAGGCATCAGTGTTCAGCAGCATTTTTCCAAACCTTTCTATATATTAAGGCGTTTCTTGACTTCACGGTTTCGTTGGTGGAGTCAACATACCTATGTTTTGTTTTTGTTTGGTTTTAATTGATTACTGTCAAAATAGTTGGTCATGAATTAAGGACGTTATGTGTTGACACATGTTGAGCACTTGTCCTATACGACCGTTGTTCTGGTATCAGCTGTTTGACTATAGTTTTAATACGATTCATGACCTTTCTCTCATATAATTTATAGGCGTTGCATAACAAGGATATATGGGTCGATAACTTTTTAGATCACCATCGTTTGAGTACACATTTTCTATGGAAACATGTATTTAATAGTCTTACTCCTAATCCGAAGTGTTCAATTTGTTCTATTAAAATTTCGTCAAACCCAGCCGCTTTCCCATTCTTCATTTCTTTCAGCCTGGCGATGATTTCATTCATTTGAAAGTCATGGTGGAAGATATGACATTCATTGTTTTTTTATCTTATAATTATATCCCTAAGGATTTTCCTTCCGGGCTTACCATTTTTGAGTAATTCTGAGACCTTCTAATTAGCAGTCTAATATTAAACAAGTTCTGCGTATAGTTGGATCTTCACTGACCTTTTTTATTGGGCGCCAGGCTTTCTCACTAATTTTAGCCATATCAGTATTTTCAATGAGATCGTGCCACTTTCTGTTTTTGTCATCGCCAAGCTCTTTAATATGAGTAAAACGTAAAGTAAGTAAAGTAAATCGGAGTTAAATGTCTATAAAATATCAACGTATAACATGAAATACGGTTCACTTGATTTAAAGTTGATTTAAAAAAATTTACAGTTTTAAACATTTTGTTAGACACTTTTTTAAAATATTTATAGTTGTACTCAAATACTATTTTACTGTTTATGAAAATTCGTTTTATAAAGCATTTTTAAATACCTATCTATATCTGTTGGTACTTAAATACATTTAAAAAGTATCAGTTTACCTTACTGTATACAACTATAAGCTGTATCGTATTTCAGGTACATGAATATCTATTTTTCTCCGGACTCATGCTTGCAGACACGTTGTTATTGGCTTATTTGAGTCATAATTACAAGTACAAAGCTTTCAGACAAGGGTTAAACGACAATAACGACGATAACGTCGTGTCAAATCAAAGTGAAATTCAACTCGATGGGAAGTGTTCATGAAATGCTCAAATACATGACTGATTGCATATAATAGTTGATTTAATCTAATTACAAATTTCATCATCGATCAATTTGTAAATATTTATTATTGTAATCGTTATCTTTTATAAAATATATATTATTTATTTTCGATCATAGTCAACGAGATAGTAAATAATATAATATACTGATCGAGTACAAATTATATCAACACGTCATTAATTAGCAAACCTTATGTGGTATGCTTATGTGATATTTAAAAAAAACATTAATTCCATAGTGCTGTTTTTTAACCTGGACGGTACATTTTCGTATGATATTTCAACTTGTATTTTTTACATAATAGATATATTATAGTACAATAAAACATTCACAGATATTAACATTGGGAAATTTCAAATTTGGTACCTAGGTAGGAAATCACTATAATTGCCTAGATAGAAGCCTTTTAAATTCTATAGTCATACCAATATTTAACTAAACTCTGATCTATTGTGTCCTGGAGAAACAAATTATTAGTTTTTTTCAGTGAGGTTTATCGGAGTAAGAATACCAATAAAATATTAACACACTGGTCACTGTCATTTTTGACAGCATACAACCGATATTGATAGTAGACAACCGTATACACAATAATATTATTAACAATCTATTGACTACCGTGACGGCGTATCGTATAGGCAATATAGGTACATCGCAATGTCAAACTTCAATATTATTTAGAATTAAAATTTATTGTAATTATATTTTAATATTTTTTTCAATCCAATTGCGTATGATTTTAAGTGGTCTTAACAGTTCCGCGAACTATTATAATATCATATGGTTTTATTTTGGTAAATATAATGAATGACTGATCATGTTGTGTAATTGTGTTTGCATATTTTTTCAGGAAAATAAAACTAGTAAAAAGCAAGTATTTTTACAGTGTAAACTATATACGGTCGTTAATCGCATCATTATCTTCTTATCACTTGTGAGTTTTCTGATGAGAATAAAGTCAATACGCACTATTGTTTGGATGATATAAAATCAACAAAACTGTTCGTTACACTAAGATAAGATTTGGGAGCAGCACAAAGTTCTTAAACTTTTATAAACTATTAAAAATTTAAACAAGGTTCCACGTAAATAGGTTCTATATAAATTATTTTATTCACAATAATAATATCATCAAATATACTTAGTAATATCATAGGCTGACTGGCCGTCTTCGCTCAGAATTGTTTTTCTTAAACAATGATACTTTATCATTAAATTCAAATTTAACACCATCCATTACTGTGACCCACTTGCCCACCTTTTTTCTATTATTGTTGATGTGTGTTATTTTTTATAAAAATAAACAAAGTGTTACAAAAATCTTTAATAAAAGAAAACCTAAAAGTTGATGCCTGCCGAAAACATGTCCATGTTAAAAGATAACCCATAATAATTGTAAAATCAAATGTCAATACATTGATGGCTCTACTCATAATGTGTCTTTGGTAAAAGTGTATTACTTACCACCAAAATTCATTTAAATGTATTATTATAGTAAATAGTAGTAACACCATTGAAAACGTTTGTGATACCACTGAATAGGAAACATGATTAAAATCAGGATCAAAAAGTCCTGACTAAATCAATAGACAGTAATACATCTTTTAAGGGTTTTAATTAAATAAAAAATGTTCATTTTCAGAATAGTAAATCGATGATGCGTTCTGTATAATATAGTAAGTATTAATCAAAAATAACAATATTTAGTTAGCCAATCAATCTATTGATTTTATCACAATTTTATATACTTTATTTATTTATTTATTTTATTTTTTCTCGAGATTGTAGCTTTTATTTTTAATTGTATGATTAATCTATAATACGATAAACTTATCGAAATTCAGTAGGTATGCAATTCCTGACAGTCGATTTAAAATATTATTACCAGTGTTTTACATAATACAGGTACCTAGTAGTAAAAACTAAAAAGTATAATGATCAATGTCGGCCAATTCTTTCTCCCATATCCTTTTTAATTAGTTAATTTAAATGTTAAATGTTTAATAAAATATTAGATAGGTACCTATTATATAATATATATTATACAACTTGACAACAATTTCAATGAAAATGTATGTATACTAGTAAAAAAAATGGATTTCATTTATTTTTTTACCCAAACTAAACTTATTTAACCATGGATAATGTGTGACATGACATTCAATGCATAGATCATAATGGATTATTTCCTACTTGTGTTATACTAACTCACTGATAATTTTTTAACACTGTACCTACATATACTTTTGCTCTGCAACACTCAATAGTAATAATAATAATATAATCATTTCAAATCAATTACCTAAATATGATATAATACTATTAAAATACCTTTAATTTTTTGTAAGAATAATATATCACATTTATTACAACTTACTACAAATATTTAGATAAAAAATAATAATATATGTATGTTTGTTATATTATTTTTTTTACGAATTTCACTTAAACTGTTATATAGTATTTAAATAACATTGAATGATTGTAGTTATTAGAGGGGTGGACAAATTATTAATTAGACAAATAAATATATAAAATAATATATTGTTAAATTAAATAGACAAATTTCCGATTTCTGTACGATACAATTTTTGTTTACGAGTAAAAAAGATTAAAAATTGAATACTGGGTTCCTCATAATAGTTGCAAATCATCATATTATTACAACAGTTAAGTATAATTAACATTAAAAATATAAAGGTAAGTAATCCACTTTGTTTCTACAAGCATATCTCCCTATACGACTTCAAACTTTAACGAAATTCGTCAAAATCAAATATTTTTGGTGAATATAATATTATGTGTTAATTATTTTTCCGATATCCGTATAACTATAAAATTATGTAAGAAATTACAGTGTAAATAAATATAATATATATATCGATAATGAGTAGTACATACGTTACAATATGAACTACGATTATGCTTTTAAAGTTGTAAAAGTTTTAATATATCGCGGAAAAATGAATGGCATGGTTTTGGTGGAAAATGGAAACGAATACTTTTGCCGGAAACTGGCTAGCCCCACAATACAGGCCAGATTAAACCGGTGATTGAACTATCGAGAAAAACTCGGTGAGTCACGTGAAAATTAAGCCGGTAGCCAAAAAAAAAAAAGGGACCTTATTATTTTCGGACAAAAAAATAGTCTAGCCTTTCTAGATATGTAGGAATAGTGATAATTTAATGTAAATTCAAATTGATGTTTAGTAACAATGAATGAGTCAGTTGAATATTACTTTATTGAGCATTCCATTTATATCTAAAAGCAAATCAAATTATAAATATAATTTAACATATCAAGTTCAAAAAAATTGTAGTTTTTTTTTATGCATTGTATAAAATCATAAATATAAGTGAAAAATAAAATAATTGCCTTTGCTAACTACTAGGTAACTTATGAACCTCCAATGTATTGGACAATTATTTGTTAATGTGTTTAAGGGAAACAATTATAAATAAATAAACACAAAGTAATAGAACGATCATATAAAAAAAAATGTATCCTCTCTTTGATTGTAGCGTAAATAAAATAGGAAATAATGTGCAAAATTTTTTGCGGAATCGCCCAAAATTTAAAATCTCTATGGACCGAAAAGTCACAATCTGCCGGGCTTCATAGGTTTATGGCAATTGGCTATAGCCTATAAGCTTTTGTCCATGGCCTACCTATCAGGCGCGTATCCAGAATTTTATTTCGGGAGGGGCTGAACCAAATTTATAAACATAGTCATAGAATAAAAGAAAAAAATTACATTTGATGATTTAAATCACAATGTATTCGATGTACTAAATAATAAAGTCACAACTCGCAATTCGTTTGACATTTGACAATCATTATTCATAGTAATTGTTTTGTTTTACTTTTATTAATTGTTAATAATGAGTGGGAAAACAAGCGATATTTGGTATAATTTTACTTACAGCGAGTAACGAATCAGCAAAATGCAAATACTGTTCAGTATCGTACTTAAAAAGAAAACACGTTATACTATATGATGTCAGGAAAAGAGTTTGTACTGAAAATACTGACAATCTAGATCTGGAGGAAAATATTGATAACCCTAATACAGTTTTGATTCAGAAAAATACTTCTGAAACAGAAAACCAACAGTCGACATCTTTTCAATTTTTGACTCCTTAAATAACACATACGTCTATTAAAACTTCCCCATCTATAAGAACCCCAACGTCCAAAACTAATGTGGCAAACAACAAAAAAAAAAAACATTAAGACTGTAAGCTGAAAATCGTGAGTCTGCGTGCGAATCGTCGAGTACAATACTCTACACAAGTGGCTGGAAACAGGTTTTATTTATTGTAGTAATTAGGTTCGGCAATTGGCATCGGTATTCGGTACTCGCCACTCGGTATAGGTACTATAGGTATTATATTATTATACTAGTCAATAGGTAATAATACTATATAATAGAAAAAGTACAGAAAGGAACGATGGAACGAGTCATTAAAAAGTACGACAAATCCCATCACTAACACAGATAAATAGAAAAGAAACAGATTATTGTATATTTCTGACATCTGTGCAATATTATGAATATATTATTTACTCTATGGCAATATGGCAAAGAGCTGCTACAATGCTGTTAATCGTTATCGCCAGGTTCATAATTATTAGCATATTATTATAGCATATTAGACTTATTAGTATCTACTATCTATGATTCCCAGACTTATCTCCCGTGGTGAAGTTTTGTCCATGAACGATAAGATAAGCTAACAAAATAAAAATATGAATATAAAATTTAAGACTTTTTCAGTGACTTTGATAGACCATGAAAATATTTTTTAGATTTTCTTAAAATTTGTTGCCCCCCCCCCCCCCCAATAAATACGCCCCTGCTACATATGTGAATATGGACATACCTATAGGTATTAATTTTCCCATTGAAATAGGTAGGTTATATAATATATAATATAATACCTATGAACTATATCGTTTGTCTAAAATAATTAAATTT